AAGGAGATGAGGAGCCTAGGGAGTGCAGTGGGAAAAGGACACAGGACGGGACAGAGGTGACACAAGAGGGATGGAAGCCAGAGGCTGGCAGAGGGAAAAGGGACAGGAGAGAGACGCATAGCTCATTGAAAAAGAAAATCGACAGGCTTCCATTATGCCAAGCCAGTCAGTGACTGAAGAGCCACCACTCCCAACACCTCTTGCTGAGGAACTACATGTCCAATCATACATTTGACCAAAGTTTCCGAGGTATTATGAATGCCATTAGGGCATCTGGCAGAAGCTGACCGGAAAGGCAATATGGGACTTATAGTTCACCAACAGCAGAAAAAAAGGTCACCCCTCCAGAAATGAGAATTACAAGCTCATGCACATGAACATAAATAGAAGTGTATGGCCGTACAACATAAAATACCACAACACCCAGGAGCCCCAGCTGCAGCATTTTTTATGCCATATTACAAAATACGCTGTGCTCTTGTAAAATGGTAGTGCTTGCAATTACGTGCACATTTGAAGTATTTTCCTGAATGTTCTGCTCTTGCATTCGGGAAAATATGAACATACACGTGCATGCATAAGCATGTGCACTGACGTTCACATGAAATAGCGGAGCACAATGTATTTTGTAATATGGGTAGAAATATGCCATAGCTGCGGCTCCTGGGCAATGTAAATACAGGCATATTTTATGCTGCATTGCCATATATCTGTGTTTATGCTCATGTACATAAGCCCTAAAAGAAACCTTTGTCATTGCTAACCTCTCCTGAAAATGCTAGCTTCTTGGTTGTCACGATGACTCTTAAGCATAGGTGCTTTATAAGTCACTGACATGAAACAGGTCTATACAGATCAGGAGTTGTGAATTCATTAGCTGCATGCTTACTTTGGATTAGTAACTGAGAAACCATTGACACCAGAGACAGTTAGATAACTAGCATTTTGGGTCATGTTGATCTTCTGGCTTCACTACTACAGCTTTACTAGCTGCATAACTATTCTGGATCAGTAGCTCAGTAAATACTGGAGACAGATGCAGCCAGATATGTTGCATTTTCAGAGGGAAATCATAAATAGCTGCCCCCAGATTTTCTTTCACCACAGATTCCCTCTAAGGCCTGTTACACATGGGACTAAAAAAATGCTGAGTTTTTTTACTGAACTGAAGTGAGATGCATTGTTGTATATGGAACATTGCCCACAGCTGAGTAATGATCAGTAATACAACGTTCAGTACAGACCAGTAAAACAAAAATAGAAAATCTTTTGGTTGAGTGCAGTACTTACTTTACTTTACTTGTGTGTTTACTTGTTTTCGCAAGTATAAATGGAGTATATTACAATACTGGCAATGAAGAATTTTACTCGACTATACTCAACATTACTCAGGTCTTTATACACAGTTTTTGGCCCTTGCACATGGGCGTCACAAGTTCCTGAGTACACATCAGTAAATTATGACGCCCGTGTGCAAGGGGCCTAAAGCATATCTAAGGCAATAGATAATATGGATATGTGTCTGTGTATCATTAGGGAGATTTCTCTTCACTTCTGTCCTGTAGAATCAACAGGAGGTGATAGAATATATTTCCAATGTGAGGGGAAAATCTTTGACAGCTGTCACAGGAACAAATGCTGGAATTAAAAATATTTCCCTATATTTCCATTTTGATTTATTCTCACTTTAACTCTCAGTGACGTTGGTGATCAGGATAGTTAGAGACAGGGATTCTCCCTCAGGGGACACAAACAGCAATAAAAAAACTGACAGAGATTCTAACCCCTCTTCACGCTATCCAAATCTAAAAAGTGATCTCTTTAGGTATACTTCAAATATAATACACAGAACCCCTAATTCTGAACACACATGCCTTGAAACCACTGAAGACAACTTAAATTCAATTTCTACAATGATACTTAAAATTGAAGTTTGGAAAGGCGGAGAGGTGGGGCACTGATATCACAATCTCCACCTTGTCAAATCAGAGAATGCTAGGAAGCATTAAGCGACAGGGCAGCAGCATGGGCATGGGACACAGAAACTATTATTATTATACAGTATTTATATAGCGCCAACAGTAGTAACTTTGCTTACTACAGTTATTTCCAGTTTCCATTGAAAAAAAAAAAATTGAGTAATGTTGCTCTTTCAAGCAGAAGCCTATTATATTGTATAAAAAACAGCATACATTTGTTAGAATACAGTATATGCATTAGCTACTGTCTGCAACCAAGCCACTTTGTAAGTGTAAATTATCGCAGTATAACAGCAGGACATATTCAGATCCACATCAAGTTACATAAATCCAATGGGTAAAGATCCATTTACCAAATTTCCATGATGCACCTGCCTTTCAAACCATACATGTACCAGTAAAGGGGCAGTGTATGTATAACTGTAAAGCAACTATTCACGTTCAGTGATTTCCCACCTGTTCATACTGTGCAGCATGCAGAGCCTCGATTCTTGTAGAAACAAAATATACTTATTTAGGCTAAACTCTTGGCAAATATAAAAGATTACCATTTAAACCATTAAAAAACAACTAAAATCTGCCTTTATTTTATCTTTCTGTAATCCCCTGCACAGCAAGATTTGGAGTATCAGCACTTTCAGGTTCTATTACATTGCACAGTACTATCAATCTGAGGGTTTGTGTACACAGGGTAATGTCAGAACTTCTTTTCTTTCTATAGATTTTAATGGGAATGCAAGCACAGCTTGATGGAGCTTAGAAGGTCAGAAGCCCATTTGAAGAAACTCAAATTAATCTCAAATGCAAGCTGAATATACCTACTGTATAATCATACAGTATTTCCCCCATCATTTCCTCATGTACACAAGTCCTAAGGTCCCTTCACACCAGAGTGATTTGAAATGCTGAAGAAGTGTTTCAACCCTTGACACTTGGATTTCTACTGATTTGAGGGTGCCCTTTCACACCTGAGCATAGTGTCACTTGAAGCTCATTGCACATTTTGTACTGAAAAACAAGTGATAATGCACTTTTAATTGCCTAGTAACTAACTTTCTATTGGCTAAATAATAACAAGATAAGGCTCAACCCTGAAACGGGTAAAACAATTTCCAGTATGCATGAGAAACAAAAAGGCCCAAGAAGACCAAAGATCCTCAGCTCATGTGTGAATAGGGCCTAACACTGGGAGTTTTCTTGCAGAAGAGAGTAATGATAACTTTATCAGTGTAGTGATGTTCCTATATTCACTAGTCAAAGGTTGGAAAGGATCATTGACCAAACTGTACTGCCTAACAGCTCTGCAGAAATGTGTGGTCAGTGACTTGACTGTGGAGCCTGTCTATGGCGCTTGTTTTAAGGTAGAAGTTGAACAGAGTTACAAACCATTCGAAAAGGTAAGACAGCTCACATATGCACAGTATATCAACAATGTATTCAACTATCTACAAGTTAAACTTTAGGTATGATGAAATGTGACACTAACACAGGTTAAGTAGTACTTGTATACAGAACGGAAATCAAGAGAAAAACTCACAGGGAACTCAGCCTACTACAAGAAAGATGCAGCGAACCACAAGTGTCAGGTTTCCCCTCATACAATCCTACATCACTCATAAGTGTCTGCTATTACAGGATGATGTAAGGACAGCACGATGACTAAGGGGCTAACACTCTTGCATTGCCAGGCATCTCAGGGTTGAGTCACAAAAGATGCTGAACAAAGTTGAGGATGTGCTTTGATTTCCTTCTATAATCCAAGAACCTGCTTGTAGGCTAACTGGAAGCATTGTAAACTGGCCTCTGGATGGTTGTGGAAGTGTCACTGACTGTAATCTCCTTTGAAGGCAAAATTGATTTGGCTGGATTAATGTTCTCTGGAATAAGTTTTGGCACTCAATAAAAAGAGCAAAATACTCAAACACAGGTTTAGGTTAGTCAAAGTATGAAACTTTGTCCAGCTATTTGGAATACCAATCCAAAGAAGCAGCTTAAAGCATCCTGAGACATAGATCCTTGTCGCAATATTTCGGGTGAGGTTTATTACCCTTGGATTTTTAGAGCCTGCCAAAAGACCTTCATGAAGATTTTTTGGGATAGTATACAAATAAAAGACTTTTTATGTATGCTTGACTATCTCTCATGCAATGGCATTTATATATTTGTGTAGTAATTTTGCTTTTATTTTTGTTTTTGTTCCTGTGTTCCCCTTAATTAATTTCTACATATTAAAATCTGGACTATTTCCTTCAGAACACTGCCAGATCATGCGACTTTGGTATTACTAGTCAATATTTCACACCCTGTACATCTGTACCTCTGTAGAAAATGTAGTATGCTGTAGGAGTGTAGATGTAGAGTATGTCTTGTACCATTTGTGAAAGAACTTCTTGCTGTGTCCTGTAAAGTAGTAATGGAACTCCATATGTCATTTAACATCAGCCTTTTTCAACCAGGGTTCCATGGAACCATATGGCTCCCCCTGAGGTTGGTAGGGGTACTTTGAGCAATGGAGAATTTATGTTCTATATAAACTGACCACCAATGCAGGAGGTCAAACTTCCACTGGCCAGGAAGTATGGGGGCTTCATCTACACTAAACATACATGTTATTGCAAGCCACAATTTTCACTCTGTTTTTTTTTTTTTTTTATTAAAATTTATTACTGAGAATAATTATGTCATATACAGCAGGTAATTGCTACAAATGTTCTGTTGAAATGTTGAAATATTCTAGGTATGCCATATTTTTTATTTTCTTTAAAACTTTGTACAATTTTCTGAGAGTAAGCGTAAGTACCGTAAGCTGTAGGTGTAGTAATTTTTTAGTTGGGGTTCCCGGAGATCTTAAAATTATTTCAAGGGTTCCTCAGCAGTAGAAGTGTTGAGAAAGGCTGTTTTATATAATACTGCAGGTAGTTGCATAGGTGGTAGATGCAAACCTTTATACCTTGCTGAATATGGAAAGTAACAGAGATTTTGCAGTATAAGCTCTATGAAATGAAAGGACAGGTTCAATACCTGGCACAGGATGTTCCGTATGTACTCTCCACAGGCGGTGATCCCAGTGTTGTCCAAGAATTCTGTGATGTATCGGAACTTGTCAGCAATGGCTCTGTCCTGGACTGAGTCGCAGCATCCAAACGATGAATAAGCTGTGCAAAAAGTCAGGGGTTTTGAGGGTTGAAAGGGCGGTTTATAATCCAAGCACTGTGGGTGTCCTATCACAACATAGGTGTGAAAGACAACGAGAACCCACAGGCTAAGCATCGGATGGATTGTCATGGAGGCAAAGTAAAGGATTCTCTGGAAGATGCAGAACTTTTCTATGCTGAGTCTATATGCCTGTCCTTTTTTTCTTGTTATCTCTGTTGCATTGTTCTTTGTTACTTCAGCATGTTACTCATTTTCTTCTCCATTCCCTATTGTCTAAATTTGGCATTCCCTGTTATTGTTTGAGACTCCTGCTTCCCCCTTCTTCGATTGGATCTTATTTTACGAGTCAGTGCTTTTTGTACTCAGACTCTAATCAGTGACTCACCTCTCCTCATATCCTGTCATCTCCATTCATTCTCTCCTCCTCTTCTCTGAAAGTCTAAATCTCTCCCAATATTTCTTCCTCCAGTGATAGTGACTTTTCCAGCTTTCTCACATTTGCCTGTCAGCTGTTTAGCAATATCTTTGATATCTTTTTTAAGTTTTGTAATCGTCAATGACTGTATGTGCTTGTCTTCTTCCAGACACAGAGCTGCTGAATCTGATCCACATACAGCGTAGTCTCTCCCCCCCCTCCTTCTTTTCCTCCTCTCTAAATCCAGCCCAAATTGTCGCTCATCACCCTCCAAACTTACATCCTATCCCTGTCCGGGCACCTCAAAGAATCATGCTGTTTTGCATGTAGCCACAATACTTGTTCTTCCTTAACAAATTACTGGAATGACATCTCTTATTTTACAAATTTTGAATTTGTAAAATACACTACAAGAGCATCTATTAACTTGGAAAAGGAAGCTCGTATAAATGAGCCCTAAAACTGTCCATTACTACCATTTGAACTATGGTATTAACAGATAAAAACATATCAGGGAATTAAATAAAGCAATTACAAACACTTTTCTGGTAGTATGACCCCCTTAAAACGATATGCATCTAATTTACAAAAAAAAAAACAAACAAAAAAAAAAGGTAAAAAATAATTACTGCAAGTTCATAGAAAACTGGTGGTCATTAAGACCAACTCTAAGTTGGCATACTGAGAAACGCCAGTGGAGGGATGGCCCAGGAGATTTTTCTTACCCCAGAGCGAATGTAAAAAAAGGGGGTGGGAAATCCCTGCGGGACTTTCTTTAAACCAAAATTTTACCCAATCCCATATTTTATAATGATAAAAAAATCCCCCGACAAACCCCGGGAAAAGGCCCAGGGCCACCCTTTTGGTTTCATAAAGTTAAAACATCTTAGAAATTGGGGGATGTTTGTGCTACTGGGGCTGAAAAAGCAGGGGGCCCACAGTTTGGAAAAACTGACCTCATTGCCCCCCACCACCAATAATGCCTCTAAAAAAAATTAAAGTACCGTTTCCAACTTTTGCAGAAGTCAACAACATTTATTTTTTTCCAAATTATGGGGTTTTTTTTTGGATGTGATTTTTGGAGAAAAACATCCATCAAAAGGTTTTTGTATTTGGGCCACAGAAAACGACTTAGTTTTGTGCTGGGGAGCTGCAACGGGCACAAAATTTATTTGATGCATTTTATTATCAGGGATTGAACGCTTTGAAATTCCTTGTACAATTACTACAACACTGAGAAACTGCAAATTTAAACCAAGCTTTTATGGGGAAAAAACTCAAGAGGGGTTTCTGAGGTACCTAACCATATTTTTTAAAAAGGGCAACACAAAAAACTAACATTTTCTCTTTTTTTGCACACCCTTGCTGAAAAAAAATCATTTTAAAAGGGGGGGGGAAAAAAAATAAAAAAAAAAAAACCCCCCCCCCCAAAAAAAAAAAAAAACCTTTTTTAAAATCCCTTTTTTTGGGGTTTTTGGAAAATTGATCAGAAAAATAAAAAAAAAAAAAAAGGGGGGGGGGGTTTTTCCCCCGGTTTTTTTTGGGTTTGAAAATTTTAAGGTTTTTTTAAAAAGGGGGGGGAAAAAAAAAGGAAAAAAAAGGGGTTTTCCCCCGGGTTTTTTGGGGGAAAAAACCCCCCAAAAAAAAAACCCCCCCCTTTTTTGGGGGGAAAAAAAAAAAAAAAAAAAATTTTTTTTGGTTTGGGGGGGGGAAGGGGGGAAGGTTTTAAAAAAAAGGGGGGGTTAATTTAAAAATTAGGCCAAAAACCAAAACCCCCCCCCTTTTTTTTTGGAAAAAAAAGGGGGGGTTTTTTAAAAAAACCCCGGGGGGCCCCCCCTTTTTTTGGGGGGGGGGGTTTTTTTTTAAAAAAAAAAACCTTTTTGGGTTTTTAAAAAGGGGTTTTTTTTTTTTTGGGGGGCCCCGGGGGCCCCCCCCAAAGAAAACCCTTTTTAAAAAACCCCAAAAAAAAAAACCCCTTTTTTAATTTTCCCAAAATTTTTTTTGGGGAAAAAACCCCCCCCCCTTTTTTTTTGGGAAAAAAAAAGGTAAATTTTTTTAAAAAATTTTTTTAAAAAAAAAATTTTAAAAACCCCCGGGTTTTTTTTTTTTTTTAAAAAAAATTTAAAAACCCCCCTTTGGGTTTTTTCCCCCCCCCCCCCCCCCCCCCCAAAGCCCGGGGCCCCTTTTGGGGGTTTCCAAAAAAATTTTTTTTTAAAAAAATCTTAAAAAAACCCCCCCCCAAAAAAACCCCCTTTTTGGCCCCAAAGGTTTTTTAAAAAAAACCCCGGAAAAATTTTTTTAAAAAAAACCCCCCTTTTTTTTTTTTTGGGGCCCAAAAAAAAGGGGGGGGGGGGGGGGTTGGGTTAAGGGAAAAAAAAAGGGGGGGGGGGGGGGGGGGCCCCCCCGGGGGGGGGGGGGTTTTTTTTTTTGGGGGTTTTTCCCCCCCCGGGGAAAAAGGGGGGGGTTTTAAAAAAAAATTTCCCCCAAAAAAAAAAAGGGAATGGGCCCCCCGGGGGGGGTTTTTGTTTTTTTTAAAAAAAAAAAAGGGGTTTGAGGCCCCGGGGGGGGGAAAAAAAAGGGGAAAAAAAATTTTTTTGGGGGGGCCCCAAAAGAAAAAACCCCTTTTTTTTTTAAAAAAAACCCCCCCCCCGGGGGGGGTTTCCCCCCCCGGGGGGGAAAAGATTAAAATTTTTTTTAAAAATTTCCCCCCCTTAAAAGAAAAAACCCCCCAAAAAAAGGGGGGGGGGGAAAAAAAAAATTTTTTAAAAAATTTTTAAAAAAAATTTTTTAAAAAAACCCCCTTTTTTAAAAAAAAAAAAAAAAAGAAAAAAAATTTTTAAAAAAAAAACCCCGGGGGCCCCAAAAAAAAAACCCCCAAAAAAAAAAAACCCCCTTTTCCCAATCCCCCAAAAAAAAAAGGGGGGAAATTTAAAAAAATTTTTTTAAAAAAAAGGGGGGGGCCCCCCCCGGGGGCCCCGGGGAAAAATGGAAAGGGAAAAAAATTTTTGGGGCCCGGGTTTTTTCCCAAAAAGGGGGGGAAAAAAAAACCCCCAAAATTTTTCCCCCCCGGGGGGGGCCCCCCCCCCCCAAAAAAAAAAAACCCGGGAATTTGGTTTCCCGGGGCCCCAAAAAAAAAAATTAAAAAAATTTTTGGGGAAAAGGGCCCCCCAAAAAAACCGGGTTTTTGGGGGGGGGGGAAAAGGGGGAAATGGGAAATTTTTTTTAAAAAAAAACCTTTGGGGGGGGGCCCCCCAAAAAAAAAAAAAAAAACCCCCGGGGGGGGGGGCCAAAAAAAAAATTTTTTTTTTTTTTTTTTTTTGGGGGGAAAAAGGGAAAAACATTTTAAAAAGGGCCCTTTTTTTTTAAAAAAAAAACCCGGAAAAAAATTTTTTTGGTTTTGGGGGGGGTTTTTTTCCCCCCCGGACCCTTTTTTTTTAAAAATTTTGGAAAAAAAAGGGGGGGGTTTTTTTTGGGGGGTTTTTAGAAAAATTTTTTAAATTTTTTTGGGAAAAACCCAAAAAAAAAAAAATTTTTTAAAATTTAAAAATTTTAAAAACCCAAAAACCCCCTTTCCCCTTAAAAGGGGGAAAATTTTTTTTCTTTTAAAAATTTTTTTTTTTTTTTTTTTTTTTTTTTTCCCAAAACCCAAAGGGGAAAAATTTTTTTGGGAAAAAAAGGGGGGGAAAAAAAAATTTTTTTAAAAAAAAACAAAAAATTTAAAAAAAATTTTTCCAAAGGGGGAAAAAATTTTGGGGCCCCCCCTTTTTTTCCCCCTTTTTTGCCCCGGGGGGTTTTTTTTTTTTTTTTTTTTTGGTTTAAAACCCCCTTTAAATGGTTTAAAAAATTTTTTTTTTTTTTTTTAAAAAAATTTTTAAAAAAAAAATTTTTTTTTCCCCCCCCCAAAAAAAAAAAAAAGTTAAAATTTTTTAAAAAAAAAAAAATTTTTTTTTAAAAAAAGGGGCCCAAACCCCAAAATTTTTTTTTAAAAAAAGGTCCCCCTTTTTTTTTTTAAAAAAAATTTTCTTTTTTAAAAAAAATTTTTTAAAAAAAAAACGGTTTTTTTAAGGGTTTTTCCCCCTTTTAAAAGGGGAAAATTTTTTTTAAAAAATTTTTTTTTTTTTTTTTTTTTTTTTTGGCCCCTTCCCAAAAAAAAAATTTAAAAAATTTTTTTTTTTTTTTTAAAAAATTTTAAAAAAATTTTTGTTTAAAAATTTTTTGGGGTTTTTTTTCCCCGGGGTTTTCCCCCCCCCAAAATTTTTTATTTGGGTTAAAAAAATTTTTGGGCCCCCCCCTTTTTTTTTTTAAAAAGGGGGTTTCCCAAAAATTTTTTAAAAAAATTTTTTTTGGGTTTGGGGGCCCCCGGGGGGGGGGTTTTTTTTAAAAAACCCAAAAAATTTTTTAAATTTTAAGGCCCCTTTCCCTTTCCCCCTTTTTTTTAAAATTTTTTTTTAAAAAAAAAGAAACCAAGAAACCGGAAACCTTTTTTTTTTGGGGGGGAAAAAAAAATAAAAAAACCCCCAAAAAAAAAAATTCCCCCAAAAAAACAATTTTTTAAAAAAAAAAAATTTAAAAAAAAAAAAAAAATTTTTGGGTTTTTTTTAAAAAAATTTTTAAAAAAAATTTTTTTTTTCCCCCCAAAAAAAATTTTCCCCCAAAAAATTTTTTTTTTTTTAAAAAAAAAAAAATTTTTTTTTTAAAA